AGAAAACGTCTCAGGAGGAGGAAGGATGACGGCTCATCTACAAGGTCTGCTATATATAAGGAGACCTCATTAAAGGAAAGAGAAGTATTCTGTGTGTCTTTACAGGACGATTAGTCCTGAACAGTGAAAAAATACTAGGTATATGGACACCTAAAGAAGAAAGGATAGCTACTCAGAGGACCACCAAACATGCAATAATATGATGTGTTATCAATGTCTAAATCTCTCTATTTTGTTATTGTAATTTCTATTTCTTCCACTTAATATGCCTGAGTCCCAATTCATCTAATTAATGCTGGCTTTGGAGTTGGATTGGCTCTCCTGCTTTAAACCCAAGCATATTGTTAAAATGCAATTCAGACTTTCTATATTATATCAAAGAGCCATTGATATGAGACAAAAACAACAACAACAAAAAAGATATATATATGGGGACTGTCATCTGTGTATATTTGGTTCTTTCTAAAACTCTAATCTCCTTCATGTGAATTATCTTCCTTAGGGTTGCCTTTCCCAGTATTCATACACATAAAAGTTAAGAATTTCTGTGCTAACATTAATATTTCAGTTTTCCAGAGACAAAGGGATTTCTTGACAGCGATCTTCAGCTGCTTCAGAAAGAGAATGTGGATTCACTTCCCCGACTCGGCCTGATTCGACTGGATACATCTAAACTGCCCCACATCATCGACCCCACCTGACAGGCACCATCCTGAAATCAGCTTGGAACTGCATCACTTGACACACCGTCAGGCCAAGGAACTGATACAGTGCATCTTCTACAATCTGATCAGAGCTTCAGACAAGAGCTTCAATCAAAATCAAAAATCTAATCCGGAACTTCAGTCAAGCCTCTCCTGCAAAACAGAGACTAACTGACCTACTTAAGACTCTTGTTACACTAACAGTTTCTTCCCACAGGTCCCCATGACATTGTCATTGTCCCACTTCAGCAAGAAGTAAATTTGAGAATTCCATGTCCCATCTCCCTACTATTGACATTAGAGGATAGTTTGCACCTGTTAGTGTTACTTTGCAATTATTTTAGGGTTGGGATTGGAAGGAGGTGTTCAGACTTAGGCATCCCTTTCAGATAAGTTTAGAATTTAGGTGGAATGGATATGTTTAGTTTAGGATAAGTAGATTATAACTTAATTATCATCCTCTACGTATATATGTTGTATATGTTTGAGTTTGTATCAAATTTAACTCTTCTATTTAGACTAAAAGGGGAATTGTAGGAGTGAACCCTACAAAGCTATCCGCCCAACAGGGCATGGTCAAGGTAGAGATAAAAGGAAGTGAAAGGTAAAGGGGCTTCCCTTTTCTCCTGGAAGCCAGCTATGCTTCTAACTCCTGGTCTGTGCGACTCTCTCTCTCTCTCTCTCTCTCTCTCTCTGGTAAATAAATATATTGTTTTCCCTATATAGTATCGAATATCGTTATAGTGTATGCCTTGAATCAGCGTCCAATATATGGTAATGTTTCTCCCATAGCTAGGACCCACGGGTCCAGGAATCAAGGGGTGGAAAGCAGAATATTTCCACTCCTAGTGAGCCACTAGAAAAACTTTACTTCCTGTTCCTGTAAACCTTAAGTTTAGATGCCTTAAAGGTTTTGGTTCCAGCAGAGTGAGCACTCCTGGCAGGAGTCACAACAAACATTCCATTGAACTGGAAACTCAGACTCCACCCTGGTCACTTTGAGCTTCGGATGCCTTTAAACCAACAGCCTAAATAAGGAATAACAGTGTCAGGAGGGGTGATTGATCCAGATTGCCATGGGGAAACTGGATTGCCTCTCCACAATGGGGGTAAGAAATATTATATATGGAGTACAGAAGGTCCTTTAAGGTGTCTCATGGTGCTACTACACCCTGTGGTCAAAGTCAATAGGAGCGATAACAGCCTAATCCAGGCAGGATGACAGAGGACACAGACCCATCAGGAATGAAGGTATGGGTCACTCCTCCAGGAAAAGAGCCAAGACCTACTGAGGTGTTTGCCAAGGGTGGAGGAAATACAGAATGGGTAGTAGAGGAAGGTAGTTATAAATACCAGTTAAGGTCATGTGACCAGTTACAGAAACAAAGATTATACTTAACGTGAATGTTTCTGTTGTATTTTGATAAGAATGCATTTGTACAGATGTTTGTGTTTGCTTTGAATGTCTTTATTATGTGATGTAATATCAATTAAGAGGATATCAATGAGCTGGGCATTGGTGGCGCACGCCTTTAATCCCAGCACTCGGGAGGCAGAGGCAGGCGGATCTCTGTGAGTTCGAGACCAGCCTGGACTATCAATCGAGTTCCAGGACAGCCTCCAAAGCCACAGAGAAACCCTGTCTCAAAAAACCAAAAAAAAAAAAAAAAAAAAAAAGAGGATATCAATGGTTATGATACTTAAGTTTAAGACACTAAAAGAATGTTTCTCAAGGGACATTGCCACCTATTCTAAATTTGTAATGCATTTTTGGTTATCTAAGGGATAGCTATACATGTTAGGCATAATTATGGCCTAGTTAAATAGATAATGTGATTGTAATTGTATGTGGAATAGTTATATTATGTTTAGGAGTTATCACCTGGTTATTGTTTTCATTTGGAAATTAATTATGATGTAATATGATTGTGTGTCAGGTTGGCAAGGGGTGGATTATGATGGCTATTCTTGGTTGTCTACTGGACTACATCTGGAATTAACTAAAATCTGAAAATGGAGGACATACCTGAGTAGCTGAGGATTTTTTTTTTTTCTGCAGAGTAACCCTGGCTGTCCTGGAACTCACTCTGTAGACCAGGCTGGCCTTTTACTCAGATCCACCTGCCTCTGCCTCCACAGTGCTGGGATTACAGGCATGCACCACCACCACCACCAGACTTGGTTGAATCCACTTCTAATAAGGATTTTGAGTCGGGAGGACCTTTAATCCTGAGTCTTGAGGTGAGAAGACACACCTTTAACATGGGCCATACCTTCTACTGAAAGTCTGTATATACGGACATGGGAGAAGGAAACTTTTGTTTTTTTGCCTGTTTGTCTTTTTCTTGCTAGCAAATCCATTCCTTGACTAGCATTAGCACCCACTTCTTTAGAATTCCATCATGTAATAAAGACCAGCTGAGACACCCAGCCTTGTGGACTGAGCACCTACTGGATTCTTGGACTTTTGGTTCATAGTTAGCCATTGTTGGATAGTCTTCAGTCATTTTAATAAATCCCCTGTCTTTATACAGATTCATTCTACAATTTCTGTCACTTTAGAGAGCCTAATACAGATGGCAATTCTCTACTGTTAAAGACACCACATGCCACATGCCTTGGTGGAAGGATATGGAGAAATCAATATGGGATTGAACTGGCCCATCTTCCCTCCCGGCCAGATTTCATAATTCTGGAAGGCACTACGCAGGCTGCTTAGGGGAAAATTGTAACCTTGATCACACTTGGCTGGGGAATCCTGAAGGCTACAGGGTATCAACATGTCAGTCCTGACATATATGCCCACTCATGGAACTATTATGGCTGATTGGATTTTTTTCTGATTGGATTCCTGGATCGACAAGAAGTGACTGGGGCCTGGTTCTGTAAACGTGGTCAGACGCCCATGGCTGGGGAAACCACAGACTTGATGGGAAGCTGCCTCTGCTCCTTTGCTAAATGAAATGTATGTACCTGTCTAATTGCCTTCTAAACATGTGTGTTTATGCTCATCCATTAGTGCAGCTGTCATCTTTGGTCAATGAAGTTTCTGCTTCCTTACAGGAATAGTTACAGCACAGACTCAACTGGCCCAAGTGCTTTTGAAAGCCCAGCCCCAATGGGACATCTATACAACCTATCCAGGTCTCAGGGGTTATCCTGGAGGGAGGCCAAAAGGTGGTAAGAGGTGGAATGTTGTAGAAAGATAGGAGCACTGTGATTATGCTGTGGGGGAGGGGTTCCCTGACATCAGTGGATTTATAGGCAGTTAACAGTTGCCAGGAAGAGTTCTCAAGCTCCCATCCCCCAGCTTCTGTAGGCAGTTAACAGTTGCTAGGCAGAGACATTTTACTCAGTGGTATAGCCCGTGCTCTTGAAACTGTAATTAAACTCATTGGTTCATCAACCAAGATTCGAATGGAGTTGTTTCTTTGATCTGTTGAATAGAGGTTTGCTCCTCTTCCCAGGAAAAGTTTATACAAGTGGGAAAAGCAAGATACAGAGCTGTGCAGACAGTAATGCTTCCTTCTGGCTTGAAGGGAATTGTGCCTGTGTACACACACACACACACACACACACACACACACACACACACACACACACACACACACACGAAGAAACAATAGAAATTATCACTCAGTGCCTCGGGCGCCAATGCCTTCCACTGTGATTAGCATGGAAGTAAGTACAAGTGAAGGAAAAAGAAAACCTTTAGCACCCAGACACTACAAAAGCAAAAACCTCAGATAAGACTTCCAAACCCGCCCCCCCCCCCAAAAAAAAGCCAGACATGGTGGTGCGCGCACTATGGAGGCTGAGGCAGGAGGATTGGCGGAGCACTGCCTGAACCATGAAAAGGCTGGGAAGATACGGATGTCAATAAGCTGGCCCAGGTGAGGCTCACAAACCCAGTACGTGACCCATGTGCAGGAAAAGAAGAACGCTCGCTTCACAAATGAACATCACGAAGCTGGAGACAGGGCTTGGGAGGACCCAAGTTTGATTCCCAGCACCCACATGGAGGCTCATAACCATAACTCCAGTTCCACGATGTACAAGATACACAGACAGACACATAAAAATAATTTAAAATAAAAAAAAAAGAACGTCACGAGAAGGAAGTGAAGGAAGAGTTTCCAGATGACTAAAGACTTAAGCAGTCCGGACAAAGGCTGCAGGGAGGCTCGGGGAGAGGCGCGGAGCGTATCTAAGGAGCGCACGTATTCCGGGGAGCAGCCAGGCCCCCAGAACCGGGCGGCGGCCGCGCAGACGCGCAGGTTTCTCGGTTCCGCCTCCGCCAATCTGGACCCTCGTCGCGTTCCGTTCGTGCGTGCGAGCCGGCGCCGAGCTGGCTGGGCCGCGGAGGGCGGATGGCGGACTCGCAGGCGTTCTGCGTGGCCGAGGAGCGCAGCGGCCACTGCGCCGTGGTGGACGGACACTTCCTCTACGTGTGGGGGGGCTACGTGGTAAGGGGAAGGGGCGGGCGCGCCGGGGCGGCGCGGGAGCGGCGGCTGGGGGATGACAGCCGGCGACGCGGCACCCCCGCCGGCTTCCAGGCGGCTCGCCTGCGCTGCGCACTCCACTCGCCACGGGCCGCCCGGGGTCGCTCCGGCTCCCAAAGCCACCCAACCGGGGCCCCAGGGTGCGTGACTCCCCCAGCCTCCGGGGCGCAGGACTGGAGAGAACCCCAGGACGCCGTGCCGTGTTGTCCTCTGTGTCTATTGCCACGGTGCGATTCAAAATACCGAAGTCACCAAGCAGTTTAATGTGTCAGCTCTGTTTAGTGGCATTTCTTTGCTGATTATGTCTCCAAATAGATTCGTATTCGCAACCCCACGCCACGGAGTTTTGTGGTTGAAAATTCGTATTACCATGGCGGTTGGAATGTGTTGTTTGTTTTGTTTCTATGATCATAGGGTGATAGCAAGGATTATCGAGTCGGAAAAGTCATTCAGGTATACACACGTCAACCCCTTTCGCTCACAGATTAGAAAATAAGCCCCGCGGAAGCCCTACTGTAAATAGAAGATGCATCTTCCTACTCCTCTATACCTTTATATGACAGACCTGTAACACGAGTGAATCACAACGAAATAAAGTGCATACTGTGTGTGCTAAGAATTCTCAGGTCCAAGTGGGTTTTTGTTGTTTTGTGTGTTTATTCCTAATTTATCCCAATATCAGAAAAATCAGAATTAGGTTTTGAGTACCCAGTATATCTGGCATGTCCCTAGATGTCTCAGTCTTAAATCAATAGGATTATAGATTACAATCTGATCTCTAAAGTGACCCTGTATAGTAAACAAGTCTCCATTTCATTTTATTTTAATATTTTTAGATTTATGTCCACGAGCGTTTTGCCTGTATGTATGTCTGCGTCTTGTGTATGCTTGCAGCCCATGTAGGTCATAATCCCTGGAACTGTCATTACAGACTGCTATGAGCCACTATGTGGGTGCTGGGAATCAAATCCAGGTCCTGTGCGAGAGCAGCCGGTGCTCTGGACCATCTCTTCAGCCCCAAGTCTCCATTTTTAGAAAGAAAGGCATTGACCCTTTGATGGTCATGTGACACCAGGCACTGCTTCCTGGAGCTTTGTTTTACTAATTAATTAATTGAGACAGGATCTCACACTGCAACTCACACAGGCTGGCCTGGAATTTTTGTGTAGCCCAGGTTGGTCACAGATTCAAAACTAGCTTCCTGTTTTTTGCCTCTCAAGTGTTCAAACTTACAGGCATAAGTGACTACAACTTGCTCTCCCAATTGTTTTTAGAGGGTTTTTTTTTTTGTGGATTTGTCTGTTTTTTGTTTGTTTTGTTTTGAAACAGTACCTTGAACTTCTGATCCTTCAGCTTCCACCCCCCAAGTTGGGACTATTAGTGGTCGTCTCCTAGCCTGATTTTGACTTTGTTTCTTGTGAAAAACTAGTTTACACATGATACATAATAATGGCTGTATGCACATAATACATATACATAATGATGGCTGCATGCACATAAAGTTTTGTTTGTTTTGTTTTTAAGCTATACCGCTAGGAGATACAGACTTACTAAACTTTTTCTTCTGCGTTCATATCGGTTGTGCTGATGATGGTTAAGTTTAAATGGAAAAAATCAAAATAATAATCTCACCAGCCAGGTTGTGTAGCGGCATGCCTGTAATGCCCTAAGTTGGGAGCCAGAAGCAGGAGAAGCAGGAGCTGGAGGGCCTTCTGGGTTACATTGTGAGTTAAGGGATAGCCTGGACTACATGAGACCTTTCTCAAAAATAATAGTAATCTTCTCATCTCATCTTTGTATGGGTTCATTTTAACTCCATAAATGAAGCAAATCATTGCAGAATCCCTTGGGGCCATCAGGGAAATGTCTGAATGTCTTAAAATCTTATTTTACCCTTGAACGTTGTATTCCGTGAGAGTCCATTTCTCCAGGGTGGCAGCTAAAGAGTATTCCAAAGGGCAGAGGCACTACAAACACAACCCTGAAAGACACAACACAGATTTACGCCCTGGGTCTATTCACTTTTAAGTCCCAGGGATCAGCAGCAGTCCAGTGGCGTATCAGGTGTAAGTGGTGTAGGGGGAAAAAATAGGCCGGGAAAAAGACAACACGCCCTGTCTCCAGAAAATGCAGGATCCTTCCAACACATGTTGCAGAGCGGCCTTTTGGGCAGGAGATGGCCGAAAGGTTCTGGAAGCTGGAGGGATCCCAACCGTGGGCAGTCAGGGATGCAGTTGGCATTGTCTGTTTTATACTCCCCTTCCCTCATTAGCGCAGAGAGTGCTCGTGTGGAAGTTGCCAGACCTGTGTCTTGGAGACTCAGACAGTTGTCTGAAGTACTTCTTGCTTGAGCCAGTTTTAAAGAGCAGTGTATCTGAAACTAGTTCTCTGTCCTCTGTGCCTTGCCCAGTTTACGGACGGACATCCATCCCAGTTGCCAGGCAGCTGGCGGGACATGAGATGTGAGCAGTTTTCCAGGGCTTGAAGGAAGAATCGTTTTGTGTTTGTAGGTGGTACGCGTTCCTCCCAGGACCTCGCTCAGACGGTTCTGCTTCTCTAACAGGATTGATTAGGATGAATTTTTCTCTGAAAACTTGATCTGTAAATATGGCAATCTAGCCTGTTATGTGTGGAAGATGGGTTCAGGAAATGTTTGAGGACAGTGAAGGGAAGAGGGCTTTAGTAGCAGACACTAAAGTATGTCACGGCTCTGAAGTCATCAGTGGTTCTGATCTAATAGATGGCACCACAGGCTAGGAGAGAGGTGGCAGAAACAGCCAGGCATGGAACTATTTTTGTTTTTAAAAGTAGCATTTTGAATCTGGACAACCAATTATACAATAAGTGCTTCTAAGATAGTTGGGGGAAAATTATATCAGAGTCTTAGGACTAACAATTAAACATAGGAAAACCAAACGTCTCTGTGGGGAAGAGAAAGGACTATTTTAAAATCTTGGCTTGAGAAAGGAAAATCTGAGTTGGAAAAATATATAAAGAAAAAATGAGCAGATCAAACTTTTTTTTAATGGCCTTTTAAGAAGTACCACAAAGTGAGAAACCTAACGCCAAATGAGGAAATATTTGTAACGTGTGTGATAGACTCAGGTTCTACAAAAACCAAGAGCAGTTGATGAGCAAGTTTCAAAGAAGCGGAGGGGCTCAGGAGGTGGAGGCCTTGCCTGTGCACATGAAATCTGGGCGGGATTGCAAACCTGGCGGTGGTGCACACTTGTAACCCGGCACTGAGGAGAGGGCGGTGGAAGGAGCAGGCATTCAGGTCACCTTTGGCTACATAAGGAGTTGAAAGCCAATCTGGGCCAATCTGTCAAAGGAAAAACAATAAAAAGTAGGGAAAAAAATAGGAGTAAAAACATAAAAATCCAGGACCAAGTGTAGAGGAGGCTGGCACTGGCACTGCCATTTCAGAAGTTCATGATCCTGGCATAAGAGGCATCTCAGTATTTGACTGTCAGTCTGAAGACTTTTCCGTGGTGTGGCCTCAGAGCTTGCTCTCTGTAAGACCAGATGCTGGGTCTCCAGTCTTCCTGATGACCCATGAACTACTTAATAGTTTGAGACAGGGTCTTTCCACAGCCCTGGCTGTCCTGGAACTCATTATGTAGACTAGAAAGGGATAGGTTAGACTCAAGAGCCTTACCTGCACGCTGGGTTCTGAACCGAAGTCCTCTGGAAGTTCTCTTAACCACTGAGCTGTCTCTCCAGCCCTTGCTTATGTCTGCATTGCTAATCATGCAGAGTACACTTGTATGGCTAGTCCTCTAGTTTGTTTGTTTGTTTTGGATTTTCAAGACAGGGTTTCTCTGGTCCTGGTTGTCCTGGAACTCTCTGTAGACCAGGTTGACCTCAAACTCAAAGATTGACCTGGGGTCCGCCTCCGCTGGTATTACACCTGGAGATCCAGCTGCTTGCCGCCATCACCAATAGCACCCCACCCCCAATTAGTCCTCTCACTTATCCATTCCAGCTCTTCAGTGCCTGTGCTAAGACTTCATTACATATCACCAGCTATTTCTCAAACACATTCAAGCCACCATCCATTCATTTGAAGTGTATCCTGTTCAGTGCTGTGTTGTGAAAACTGACTGTTACTAATCTATTCCTCTATTGGTAGATTTTATTGCTATAATCAGCAATGCTGCAGCGAGCATTCTTACAGCATGTCTATTATACATGCACAGGATGTGTGCATTTTCTAGGGCATGGACCAAAGAATAGGATGTTGGGCCACTTGTCAGGCAAATTGAATTGGAGATTTCAGAGTGTTGACAAAATATTTGTATTAATTTGCATCTCCACCAGCCTCCTCATCCTTCCACATCCTCAACAACATTTGGTACCATCTGCCCTTAATTTTTCTGCCAACACAGTGAGGGTGACATGGTATTTCATTGTAGTTTTGGTTTTCATTGCTCAGATTAATGTGTGTGTGTGTGTGTGTGTGTGTGTGTGTGTGTGTGTGTGTGTGTGTGTGTGATGAGTGTAGGGACATGTACTGTGGTGCAGACGTGGAGGTCAAAGGGCAACTTTCTGGAATTGGTTCTCCACTTCCACCTTGGTTTTGAGGTAGGATCCCTTTGTTTCTGCCATGCTGCCTGCTGCTGAGGATTCCAGGCTAGCTGTGGGGCCTGCCCTCCTGTCTCTACCTCCATGTCTGGAGTGCTGAAGGGAGGCTGCCAGGCTTGTGTGGTAAGTGCTTTTACCCACACAACCAGCTTGCTGGTCAAGGTTACTGATAAGTGTTAGTGTGTTTTCATAACTCCATGGTCTATTTGTGTTTTCCCTTTCGTGAAAACACTTGTCTGTGTACTTTTCTGTTGGGCTGTGATTTTGTTTTTTTTTTTTTAAGGTTGACATACATTCTTTTAGTGCATAGTTATATGAATTAAAAATGATGGGGAGGGCATGGGAGGAGGGAAGGGAAATGGAGAGGGACCTGGAACTGACTTGTGAAGCAACCTCATTTCTAATTTTAATTTAAATTTAATAATAATAATAATAAAGTGATGGGGCAGTGAGATGGTTTAGCAGGTAAGAGCACTTACTGCCAATCCTGATGACCTGAGGTTCTGAGGTTGATCCCTGGGGCCCACATTGTGGAAAGAAAGAACTAGCTCCCACATGCCTTTTGATCTCCGTGTGTGTGTGTGTGTGTGTGTGTGTGTGTGTGTGTGTGTGTGTGTGTGTGTGTGTGTAGGTTGCTCTGTGGTTAGGAACATTGGGGTTCATTTCCCAGTGCCCACAAGGTTGCTCACAATCTTCTGTGATCCCAGGCCCAAGAGATCCAACACCCCCTGATTTCCTCAGTCATGTGTTGCAAAGACATACATGAAAAAAAAAAAAAGCACACACTTAAAAATAAATACAATTTTGGGCCAGGGAGATGGCTCAGTGGTTTAGAGCACTGGCTGTTTTTCCAGAGGACCCAGGTTCAATCCCCAGCACCCGTGTAACAGCTCACAACGGTCTGTAACTGCAGTTCCAGGGGATCCAACACCCTCATACAGTCCTATATGCAGGCAAAAACACCAATGCACATGAAATAAAAATGAGTAAAATTTTAAAAATACAATTTGAAAAGAAAAAATAAAATGTCATTTCACGTTGGAGTTTGTTTTCACCCAGTGAGGTGTTAGTCAAATAGATTTTTTAAATTACTGGGCTAAAGCGAAGGTGCAGTTAATTTTTCTGGAATTAATCTGCTTAGCTATCCAGCATGAATTCCATTTGCCTTTTACATATGAGGACACTTTCCAAAGCTCTGGAAAATGAACTATAACAAGTAGATGTGACCTCTGCCTCGTGGTGTTGGTGGTCAGTTGCAGGCCTGTTTGACAAAGTGAAGCCTTCTCTCAAACAAATGAACAAAAACAAATAATGTTTTAAGGTGTTTAAGAGATCCTAGATAAGAGCTTTTCAACCTGCTGGGAAAATAGTCACAAAAGTTTCCCATGTCTCCAGGACTGGGATTCATGAGCAAAACAGCCCCTGGACACAGTGACACCGAGGACACAGTAGGCACTGGTGGAGCAGTACTTTGTCATGGGGACCGCCAGCCTGTAAATAACAACATGGAGACATTATTCATTGTGAAAGCTTCGTCATTAGCTTAGGCTTGTCTTATAACTTACATTAATTTTTTATAATTTTTTAGTTAAATTAACTTGCTTTTATTAATGTGCCATCTACATGGCTTGGTTACCTCGACTTTGTACCATAGGTCCAACCTCTTCAATGTCTCTCTGGCATCTCTGTGCTGCCCATTCTGCTTCCTCTGTGTCTGGCTGGTGACTCTGCCTTTCCTTTTCCCAGAGTCCCCTCTGTCCTCTGAAGTCCCACCTAACCTCTTCCTGCTTAGCTATTGGCCATTCAATTCTTTATTACACCAATCACAGCAATACATCTTCACACAGTGTGCAAATATCCCACAACACCCTCAAAACGTTGTTCAGTGGGTTAAGGTATCTGGGGCAGTGTGTCTAGTTATATCTTCAAAAAAAAAAAAACCTTCTTTCCCTAACTCTCTTCACCTGAGGCACAGTCTTCTATAATGTGTGACTGCGATGCTCTGCTGTGCCTTTCAGAGCTTTTTCTGAGAGAAAGTTTAGCTACCCTGAGCCTTTTTCTTGAGACTCGTATATTTCTCATTTTATTCTGAACATTATTGTTGCTGTTGTTTTTTGAGACAGACTTTCTTTGTGTAGCCTTGGCTGTTCTGTAACTCACTTTAGACCTGCCTGGCCTTGAACTCACAGAGATCTGCCTGCCTCTGCCTCTGGAGTGCTGAGATTAAAGGCGTGCACCACCATCGCCCGACTATTCTAAATATTTATTTCAGCCTTTCTCATCCCAAAGAACTATTTGTTACTGTATAATTGAAAAACATGTTGAAAATAGTAATTTTGTGTATTCTTTATTTTTAGTCTATTGAAGACAATGAGGTCTACTTGCCAAATGATGAAATTTGGACCTATGATATTGATAGTGGACTGTGGTAAGTAATTTTACATTGCAAAATGTCAGGAGTCTTGTAACTCAGAGAGGCTTTAATAGACTACAGGGAATTCAAGAGCATATTTGACAGTGTCTTTCTCCTCTCCCTTTAATTCATTCTCTGACTGTGTCCCTACTCCCTTTCCTTCCCCATTCCTTGTCCCTCCCCATTCCTTTCAAAGCCATCACCGCCACTCAGCTGTGACACGAGGGAAACTCTTGTGACTATCCCCCTCCCCCAGCAGGATGAAAAGTATTATGGATCTCTTTGCACTTTTTTGTTTATTTATTCATTGTTTTCTGTGGGGGGAGATAGGGTCTCACTTTGTAACCCAGACAGGCCCCAAACTCTCACCTTCTGGGCTCAGTCTCCCCAGCACTGGGATTACAGGTGTGTTCCACGGCACCTGGCTAAATTACATTTACTTCTAGCTGGCCAGGGGGAAAATCCTCAGGAAGTTTCCAGGGAGCCTCTGCCATCTGGAAAGCTGAGAGATTCTCTGTGGTCTTTGTTGCAGGGAAATGCACCTGATGGAAGGAGAACTCCCCACCTCCATGTCAGGAAGCTGTGGGGCTTGCATCAATGGCAGGCTGTATGTTTTTGGAGGCTATGATGACAAAGGATACAGCAACCGCGTAATCCTCTCTTTTAATTCAAGAGTGCAGCCGCACGTAATCCCCAATGGATCATCTCATGTCACACACTTGCAAGCATTTTAAAAGGAAGATAGCGAGTACATCCTAAGTTTACAGTCATTAGACTTTCAAGAGATGGGAAGGCAGCAACTATATTCTGTCCCTGCCTCAGTTAGCTGCAGTCTTAGTACCTCCTGAAGAGCAACCAGTGCTCTTAACCTCTGAGTCATCTCTCCATCCCCAGTTAGCTGCAGTCTTGTTGTTATCCACAGACCAGAGCAGAGGGGGGAAGGACTGTTGCTGTATACTGTCTTGTTTTCATCTATCCTAGAAATGAAATTTTCTAATGGATATTTATTGAAAATAAAAGTCAGGTTAGTTTTTGGATGCCAGGCTTCTCCCCCACACAGATTTAGTTTTCAGATGCCTTGACTCCTAACACTAATGTCGTCTTTTAAAAGCTTTACTTTGTCAATTTACGAACAAGAGATGGAACTTATATCTGGGAGAAAATCACCACATTTGATGGACAGCCACCCACACCACGTGACAAACTCTCCTGCTGGGTATATAAGGACAGGTAAGACAGCACCTGGACTTTAATGTCCTTACCTTAGGATATAGCTGTGGGCCACACTTGAGGAAGTTTTCCAGTAATTATAGGCTTGTTTTGATGTCAATGGCAACAGCAGTCCTAAAACTGATAAGAACTGTGTCATAAAAGTGAACATGGAAGAAACGATATTTGGATTTTCCACCTTGAATAATTTATTTAAGCTGTATTTCTAGATCATTAGCAGGTTGACATGATTAAAAACTGAAGCTGTTTTGAGAAGTATACAGTGGAAGGCCAGCTTCCTGTCCACCTTGTCTTCCCCTTTGCCCCCAACACAAAGAGCCTGGAAGTCTGTATTTCTTTTGTTCTTGGGTGTGGCTCCCACACAGCTGCTACTGGAATCTTCTGAAGCTCTAAACCCTGTTCAAGCACAGCCCCTGGTGGTCTGACTGTTTGAAACTCCTCAGATGATTCCAAGGAACAGCCACTCTGCTCAGATCCAGGGGCTTCCAGTGGTGATAACTTAAATTCTCTCCAGGGGATTTGCTCACCCATCCTCTCGAATTTCAGCTTCTTTTCCCTTCAGTTCTTTGGATTCAACCCAGAGCTTCACACAAGATGGCAAGCACTCCTCTACTAATTATCCCATAAACCTCAAGTTCTGCCTTTGATGACCAATTCTGAGTTTTCCCTAAAGACTACCAAGAGTCAGGACATGTGTTCAAAACCCCTGAGGCTGGCTTTCTTCTGACTCTGATTTGCCATCCTAGTCCAAGCATGACAGTTGGCAGCTTGGTGGTTTTTCTTTACAATCCCCATGTATGTCATTTCCTCTCTCTTCTGCCATTGCTGGAGGCATGAGGATGCCTGTGGGTCTCTTCTCCTGTGGGTCCATCACCTGTGGAGGTACTTCCTTTGTATCTCATTGTCCCTCAGTTCTTTGATTTTTTTGAAACTATAATTGTGTAGTTTATTTGGCTTGTTAGTTATGGTAAGAGAAGAAATCTATTTCAAATTCCTTCTTAAAAAATGATTTTTGGAGTTGGGTGTGGTGGTACACTTTAATCCCAGCACTTGGGAGGCAGAAGCAGACAGATATCTGAGTTCGAGGCCAGTCTGGTCTACAAAGGGAGTTCCAGGTCTGTTAATAAGAGAAACCCTGTCTCAAAAAACCAAAATAAACAAATACATAATTAAAATGATTTATTACTTATTTTATGGTCATTGGTGTTTTGCCTGAATGAGGGTATTGAATCCCCTGGAGCAGACAGATGTGAGCCACCATGTAGGTGCTGGGAATTGAACCCTGGTCCTCTAGAAGAGCAGTCAATGTATTAACCATTGAGCTGTCTCTTCAACACCTCAACTTCCTTTTGTGTGTGAGGTTTTTGAGGCAGGCCCTCACTCTGGAGTTGGCCTAGAATTTATTATGTAGCTCAGGCTGACTTGGAAACACATGAGAATCCCCCGTCTCAGCTTCCCGAGTGCTAGAATTGTAGGTGTGAGCAACAGTGCTCAGCCAGTTCAGCTATCTCTGAGCAGACTAGAAGAAAGACTCCTAAAGTGTGTCCTTTTGCATTTGATTTTCAGATTAATATATTTTGGTGGTTATGGGTACAGGAGGCACAGTGAACTTCAAGACTGTTTTGATGTCCATGATGCATCTTGGGTAAGGAAGTAATCACACCTTAATTTTTTCCTTTAATTTAGCATCACTGTAAGCCTTAGGAATAATGAATTAAATTGTTTTCTCTCTGTTTGTTTTTGCTTTTCAAGACAGGGTTTCTCTGTGTAGCTTTGGAGCCTATCCTGGAATTTGCTTTGTGGACCAGGCTGGCCTCGAACTCACAGAGATCTGCCTACCTCTGCCTCCCGAGTGCTGGGATGATAGGTGTGTGCCACCACCACCCGGCTCAAACTTAACTTTTTTAACCTTTGTTTTTATATTGTGTGCATAGATGTTCGGTCTGCATGTATGTCTGACACCATGTGTGTGCAGTGCGGGCCGAGGCCAGAAGAGGGTGTTGGATCCCAAGGGACTAGAGTTACAGACAGTTGTAAACCATCATGTCAGAGCTGGGAATTGAACCTGGGTCCTCTGGAAGAGCAGTCAGTGCTCTCAAGTGTTAAGCAGTCTTTCCAGACCACCTCCTACTTTCCAATTAGTTCTTTTTTGAATACAGGAAATAATAGCCATCTAAAGGTTATTGTAGCAAAAATAAGGTTTGAAATAGGTTTCAAAATAGAAATATTCATTCTGTCTCGTGCTGAGTGAAGGAGTGGAGGTACCAGAGGTGGGCCTCGCTGCAGTTTGGGCTTGAGGGGCAGCTGTGAGGCGTGGTGTGTGCCTGTCACTTCCACAGTCAATCTCTAGCAGAACTATGCTGGAGTGCTGGCTGCAAAGCTCCTAACTATTTGCTTCTCTTTCAGGAAGAGCAGATATTCTGGGGGTGGCACAATGATGTCCACGTGTTTGACACAAAGACAAGGACTTGGTCTCAGCCAGAAATTAAAGTAAGTGCTACTGAGTTACCCAGAGCCCCCTGGAGCTGAAGCCTGTCCCTCTAATCCCAGCCCTCGCTCACTCTCACTGGCTTCTCCTCTCTTAGTAATTGCTTTTCTGTTTTTGGGGGGTTACTTTTACATTCATTGATATTTTAAAAATCTCTTTTCTTCCCAAGTTACTTGATTTTAGTAATTGGGTTTATAATTGCATGTAAAATACTTCTCCCTCTCTTCTTCCCTTCTCTGTCTTCGGTGTTTTGAAAGGGTCTCACTATGTAGACTATACTGACCTCGAACTTGCAATCTTCTTACCACCCCCATGCCAGGATTAAAGGTGTGGCCACTACACCCAGCCAAAGAAGCTCCCTTAAAACTACTAACAATTACTTTTTTGATGTTGTTGTTCTTGTTCTTGTTTTTGTTTTTTGAGACAGGGTCTCTCTGTGTAGTCCTGGCTGTCCAGGAACTCGATCTATTTACCAGGCTGGCCTTGAACTCACAGAGATCCACCTGCCTCTGCCTCCTGAGTGCTGGGATTACAGGTGTTTGCCACCGCCGTTCAGCTGGGAATCAACTTTTTAAAATGGTTTTCTCTTAATTTAACTCTTACAGAGGTAAATGGTAATTCTTTATATCAGCTGGATCTCAGCACAGTTACAAGTGAGCCTAAAACATCAGATTGGCTTCATTCAAGATACAGCATAGAGAAGTGGTTTGTGTTGTTTTTTAATTCTAAGACTTTTAGGAAGAAGAAAAGCAAAAGCAAAACAAAACAACTTCTAAAATTCAACATGTCTAGGAAATGATAAAGGGCTTCTTTGGTTTGACTTACACTATCAATGAAGTTGTTTTATGAACTTGAGGACTTTGGGGACCATAAGTAAATTCTTAATCTCTGAAATGTAATATTAGATCTTTGGTGTGGGGTTAGGGAAGAAGAGAGGAGAGATTATTTTTTAAATTTGATTTTTAAAATCTTTATATTTCAAGCTCAATTTCTATGAACTTTTGTCAGGGTGGTGGGCATTTAAGGGCAGAGGATGCATTTTATTCTTGAAGAAGCTATTTGTAGTTCTGACTGAGCACAGGATGTGGCTGGTACAGCTGCCTCAAGTCTGCCTCTGTTCTGATCTCTGCTTGCAGGGTGGAGTTCCGCCACAGCCACGAGCCGCGCATTCATGTGCAGTTCTGGGAAATAAGGGGTATATCTTTGGCGGACGCGTTTTGGTCAGTGTTTTCAATGGAAATGATATTTTAATGTGTGATGTTTACTAAATAATTGTCCTCTGATTTTGTGAAGCATCCAGACATTCAGATAACCTAGACATTAAACTGCATCTAGTACTAATTTGGACATATATATAATATGTGTGTGTATATATATCTATATCTATATTTGTATATATATGTGTGTGTATATCTATCCTCTGTTTCTCACAGAGACCCTGCACATACTGTCATAGGTGATTTTTAATCATACTTTAATGAGGGCCCTTCACTTGAGTGCAGGGTCAAGAATGCTTAAAGTCTTACCACCTAAGCTCTGTTAGATTAAACCCATCCCTTCCTTGTGCCTCTCTGGATGTCACTCAGGCAGCTCCATGTTAATTTTCCTAGTGCTTGGAACTGATTCCCAATATTTAAGCTTCCAGTGCTAAGTAGAATAGAGCAATTTGTGCTTAATCTGAACACGTTTGAAAACTAACATTTTATTGCATAAAAGAGCTGAAACACTGTCCAATGATCATGCTTTTATTTTAGCAAACTAGGATGAATGACTTACACTATCTAAACTTAGATACCTGGACTTGGTCTGGAAGGTAAGCCTGGGGTCTATGGTCTCCTACAGTGGGAGTGGGTGGGTTGATATAAGAAATATAAAATTTAAATTCCCTTTCTTCTTTCCCCCTCCCTCCCTTCTTTCCTTCCTTTTGAGACAGAATCTCACCAAGTAGCCCAGGCTAGCCTTGAACTCTGGGTTGTCCTGCCTCAGCCTTCCAGGTAAAAGGATAATAGGTACCACAGTCAGCTAAATGGAGTTTATACAAATTATATAAAAACATAAAAATAGTAAGAGTTGAAAGGAATCATGTAAATCTTGACTGTATAATAAGTATTCTTTGGGGACTGGTCACTAGAAGAGATGGGGTGACTGAATGGAGTCGGTTTACACACCTAGACACTGAGATGGATAAGAGTCAGATTTTGGTTGTGGCTCATTATATTGTTTAGCACCAGAATATATTTAGGTATTACTTTGGACATTCTTGTAGTACAATGGAATCAGAAGTATAAACACTATTAAAAATAAAACAATGGGTCAGTTGGTGGTGGTGCACGCCTTTAATCCCAGCTCTCGGGAGGCAGAGGCAGGCAGATCTCTGTGAGTTGGAGGCCACTCTGGTCTACAGAGTGGGCTCCAGGATAGCCAGGGCCACACAGAGATACTGTCTTAACAAATCATGGATGAATAAATAAACAAAGAAACAGCTCAACCAGGAAGTGCTTGCCTAGCAAATATGAGGACCTGGCTCAGGGCCCCAGCACCCGTATAAAAACCAGGCGTGACGGTGTGCGCTTCCGGTCACAGCCCTGGGGACCCAGTGTAGACAGCTCCTGAGGCACACATACATACACAAATAAAACCATGAATAGCCAAACCTGGTGGCGTACCATGTAATCTCGCTTGTAAACTCAATAGGCTGAAGCAGGAAGACAGTGAGTTTGGGGTTAGCTTTGGCTACATGACAAGTTTGAGACCTGCTTGGGGTACATAGCAAGACCCTGTCTTTAAAACAACCAACCCCTCCCAAAAAAAAACCATAAAAGTGAGAGGAGAAAAAAGCAGCAAGTTATTCTCTAAATGTTGGCATTAGGGATTATGTAAACTGAATGTGGTAAGTGAAAAAGACTGACTCCTAAAACCAGCAAAAGATTAATCATTTCTCTACAAAAATGTATACAAAATGTTAAAAGGCATATTGAAAAATGTAAACCAGAAGTAAACTGAAAGAAATATTTGTAGCGGTTTTCTTGTTTGTTTGTTCGTTTGTTTTTAGAGAAAGATGAAGTCAAATGTTCCCAAGAATTTAGAGGGGAAAAAAAAAGACAATCTAACTGGGCAGTGGCAGCACACCTTTAATGCCAGCTCTCGGGAGGCAGAGGCAGGCGGATCTCTGTGAGTTCGAGGCCAGCCTTGTCTACAGAGCAAGTTTCAGGGCAGTCTCCAAAACAATACAGAGAAGCCCTATCTCGAAAAAAATCTCGAAAAAAAAAAAAAGCAAAACAACAACAACAAAAACCTTTTGTGGTTGTTAATGATTTATAACCAAAGTATTTATTTTCCTTTGTTTTCTCTCTTTCATTCCCTCTTTCTTCTGCCTTCCCTCCCTACTTTATTTCCCTTCCCTCCTCCTTTCTGCTCTTTCTTTCCAAGCAAGATCTCTGTATGTAGCTCAAGCTGACCTTGAAGGCACTGAGTACCCCAGGCTAGCCTCGAATGCATGGTCTTCTTTCAGCCTGTTGGGTGCTGGGATTCCAGGATGCCCCCACTCCCCAGCTCAGCTTTACTTTAAGATCTAAGATGAGTGCGGTGAATGGGTAGCACTCACAGGCCAAGGCAGGAGCGTCGTGAGCCTGACTGTCTTGGGAGAAAAAAATAAGACCTGAGATAATAAAAAACCTTTCATTTTGCCTAATTCAAAGCTGGATTTTAATTTTTCCCTTGCTACAGGATTTCTGTTAATGGAGAAAGCCCCAAACATCGGTCATGGCATACGCTGACAGCCGTAGCTGAGGATAAGCTTTTCCTATTTGGTGGACTAAGTGCAGATAATACTCCACTGAGTAAGTGCATAAGCTTGGCATCAGTCATTACCTCCTTTTCCCGTGTGTTGCAGTGTGCACCGCCCAGGTGGCAGGCGTCTGGGGAAGGGCGTAGTGCCCATGTCCGAGCCCCTACCTGGGGGTGTGGGAGTCAATGCCGTAGTGACCTGAAGGGGCTCTTTCCTGGGGGTGTGGATGGTTAAAAACTGTTTTACATTTCTTCCCATTGCGTGTGCGAGAGCATGAATGTGTATGCAAGATGTGCCACAGTGCGTATGTGGGTACAGGGGAACCTCTGAGGGCTGGCTCTCGCCTAATGCCACTCGGGTTCCAGGGATCAAACTCAGGTCCGCCTGCCTCTGCCTCCCGAGTGCTGGGATTAAAGGCATGCGCCACCAACGCCCGGCCTCTGAGACATCTTTTTTAAATTAATTATATTTCATACTTATACAGAAGTCATTTATTCATCTGTCTGTCTATCTATCTATCGATTTATTTATTTATTTGGTTTTTCAAGACAGGATTTCTCTGTGTAGCCTTGATTGTCCCAGAACTCACGCTGTAGACAAGGTTGACTCACAGAGATCCTCCTGCCTCTGCCTCCTGAGTGCTGGGATTAAAGGCGTGCGCCACCAACGCCAAGTCTAAAGTTATTCTTTTCTCCCTGTATTCCCAGCCGTATGCTTGCATTGTGAATTGATATGATGGGCCCGAGTTATAGCTCACTATTAGAATGCTTGCTTGACATGTGCATAGTCGAGGGCCCAAGAGAGATGAGAGGAAACTTAAAGCCTCTTTCCATCCCCACATCCCATGGTCCTGTGTCTTGACTGTTTGTCTAGATGCGGTTGTACTGTAAACTAGAATATGGACAACAGTCTTCCCTGAGGCCAGAAATGCAAGGGGGAAGCTAATGTCTCCTTTCTGTTGTAGGACCAGTGTGCTCAGTAGAATACTGTAACTCCTCTAGCTGGTGTTTTGTTTGTTTGTTTCACCTTTATTTATTCACTTATGTGTGTATTGATGTGTATATGTGTGTGAACCACACTGACATGTGGAGGTCATGGGACAGCTTGTGGGAGGCAGTTAATCACCTGCCATATTGTGGGCTTCAGACACAGCCCAGGTCCTCGGGTCTGGGCAGACAGCACTGCTGTCCACTGTGCTATCTTCAGACCCAGAAGTCTAACTTCTGTCACTGCTGATTCTAATAGCTATGAGTTTTCCAGTACAGCCTTTTTCCCCTGAGACAGGGTTTCTCTGTGGCTTTGGAGGCTGTCTTGGAACTAGCTCTTGTAGAGCAGGCTGGTCTCAAACTCACAGAGATCCTCCTGCCTCTGCCTCTGCCTCCCGAGTACTGGGATTAAAGGCGTGTGTCACCACCACCCAGCCTGAGTTGGGTTTTTTGTTTTTGTTTGTTTGTTTGTTTGTTTAGAGACAGGGTTTCACTTAAACTTCTGATGCTCTGCCTCTGTACTGCCTAACTGTTGAGATTAAAGACATGCAGCAACATACCCTGCTGAGATTTTTCATTAAATTCAGAATATAATTTGTATATTTCACTAGAGAATAATATTTAAATTTTATGTGTATGGAAGTTCTGCCTACATGTATGTGTGTGCATTACGTGTATGCAGTGTCCACAGAGGCCAGAAGAGGGCGCTGAATCCCTTAGAAGTGCAGTTACAGATGATTGTGAGTCATCACGTGGGTGCTGGGAACTGAACCAGGTCCTCTGAAAGAGTAGCTTGTGCTCTTAACTGCTGAGCCATCTCTCGAGACCCATACTTGCTATTTTTGATCATTAGCATATGGGACACTGAATGACCTAACTCTTCCTTCTTTCCTTATAGTTTTAGTGTCCATTCAGCTTAGCAATGTGTGCCAATGTGTTTTTGGGGAGAACAATGCAAGATCTAGGATTTGATCAACAAGAAGATAGTACAGAGACAAATAGCACATGTGGCAAAATTCTTTTCTTTTTTTCTCTCTCTTCATCCTTCCTGTTCCTCCCTTCTATCTTTCCTTTTCCTTCTTTTTGGCTGACATTGAGCCCAGGGCTCATGTGTGCTAAGCCCCAAACCTTAGTAGTTGTTGCTTCTTGGATGTGGGGCCCTCTCACTTTGTAGATGTTTATGAAAAATGTGCAGACTCACCCAAGATAATGATACAAATGTAACATGATAAGCCTGTTAAAAAACATTAAAATTATAATCCAAAGGCCTAATCATAATTTCTGAACTGTACTAATATTGCAGGTGATGGCTGGATTCATAATATTATAACAAACTGCTGGAAACAACTTAGACATTTACCTTACACCAGGCCCAGGTAAGCCCAAAGAAAACAGTTGAGAGTTTTTAGAATGTGAAGATTTAGGACAGAATGCAGTGTCTGTAAGGAAACCGTAAATAGCAGAGTTACTTCTCAAATTAGCTTTGTGTTAACTGAATAAATCAATTATTATTTTGATTATGTTCATTGGAAATGATTTATATACTTTTTATCCATTGTTGTAAAATTGAAAATGCTACTTTTAACTAAACATATGATCTTGTCTAATAAGGTAATTTAAAACTTTGTATAAGATCAATTTTTAATGCTGCTATTTTTAATAAACAGGAATAGCATTAGCTTTAGTAATAATTGTTTTTTAGAAGACATTTAAAGTAATATATTGAGCATATTTGATTTCAAGTTACTGTAAGACAGATGAGTTTTAACCGTCAGAGCAGGGAATGATGGTCCAAGCCTATGATCCAGCATTTGGGGAGTATGGGCAGGAGGACCAGGCCATCATTGGCTGTGCAGTGAGTTTGATGGCAGTCTGGCCTACATGGAACCTTCTCTGAAAGTAAACAGCAGTCTTATGTATTCATTAATGTGAATATTTTGAAAAAGAAAATGCTATTTATTCATTGTATATTGTAGGATAAATATTATAGAGACAATATGCTATTATTAAAGAGAATCAAATAGTACCATAAAGATGTCTCAAATTTAGTTGACTAGTGTAATGAAAATGTCCTCATAGGAGATTCAGATAGAGCATGCCACAGGATCATCTGCAGATAGCATGCTGTCTCATGCCATATTTTAGAAGTGGCCTTACTCCAGATTGTATATGTTAGCATAAAGTTAACTTATATCTTTCTGTTATGTAAAAAATGATTACTGATAGCTTATTTGAGAAAAAACCTAAATATTCATATGTATGTTGATATGTAAATCTATACTAATACTGTTTAGAGGCCATAATGACTGCATATGCTATTCTTAATTTTTAATGTAGAAAAATTCATTAGAATATGTTAACCCCTCTAGCTTTCCTGAAACATACTTGTTTAATTTAAAGAGTTTATTAATTTTTATTGAGGCAACATGCAAGTTCAGCTACTACTTAGTTTTTGGCTTCACAAAGTCACTTATGACAATCATGTCTTCACCTGTGAGATGAGGGGACTCCTGGTTTCCTCTAGGTTTTTCTGTTTTGTTTTGTGAATACATTAATTATGATGAAAATGGTAATAATATGTTTAATTAAATTTTTCTGACTTATATTTGAAGCCTTAATGAGTAATTAGTGCAAAACAACTGTTATCAATAGCATGCTAGTTGGAGCTAGAGCTGTGTAACATGCTTTCTTTTGACTGAGCTGATGTGTCCTGTCAATACTATGCTTTATTAGGACGTTTAGGTGATAAGTGTAGAGCAGCTGTGAGAGGACATAACTGTCAGTCTGTAGGAAACATCAGGTTGCAAGCTAGATGCCACCAAAACCAAGGCAGGAAAGGCTTTCCAGTGTTCTTCGGTGATGAGATCCAGGTCCGAGTTTCCCTCAGGCAGATAAGACAGAGGCAGATCTGCCTTCAGGTATGAGGTGAGGAGGAGAACAGGTGGGGTAGAGTTGAGTGTAAGGAGAACATATATGTGTGTGCGTGGTTTTGAATGAAAGCGACAGGCCACATCTGCCTGCGTTTTGTGTCTTTCCACACTATAATGTGGAGTGACAGCTGCCCGATTCTCCTCTTAGAGTGCTAAGCTTCCTCAGCCATGGTGCTGTGGACAACTCAGAAGAAACCCCCGTTGCTCACATTGCCTGGGCCCTGTGAGACACCTCAGGACACCCTGCAGGAGACTCACTCCTACGATGAAGCTCTCCTCTCCAGGCCTCATTGTATGGAAATCTGTGCCTGAGCATTGTTTTCGTTACAGGTGGCTGTCAAGAAAGACTGTCTGTAAAGATGTCATAGAAAGTGCTGGCATATAGAGCCCTAAATCCTGTCAGGTCCTGTCAGCATTGCCAGTGTATCTTGTGGCTTTAATCTTGGACCTTAGCCCAATCCCTCCCATAAGTGAGGACATGCAGTGTTTTCAGTCTCTTGTGCCTAACTTCTCTAATCCCATGTCCAACCCCTCAGCATTATCTGGTTCCTACTGAAAGTATATACCAATCTATACCCCAGCAGGGGATTTGGAGAACTGGGCAGCATATTTACCAAACAGCGTATCACATGCCTCATCCCGGGTCACAAATGCATTTGTCATATTGTGTGTGTGTGTGTGTGTGTGTGTGTGTGTGTGTGTGTGTGTGTGTAATGGAGAAAGTGTGCAGAGTCCCACTGTTTGCATTCGTGGGGTTTGAGTAAGAGGGATTAATGTATAAAAATACATTTGACAATAAGTGTAATATATAGTATTTTCTTGGGGGACTGTTGCTTCAGTAATTTGTTCTCTTAAGAAAAGTATCCTAAATGAGGATACCAGACGTTTGAGAGCAGCCTGGATGCAGAGTGAGTTCCAGGCTGGCCTGGTGGTATACACCTGCAGTCCAGTGCCTGGGAGGCAGAGAAGGGCATCTCGAGTTCCAGACCAGCCTGATCTACACAGAAAGGCCCTTAAAAATATATAGTGCTCTCTTAAAGTCAAAACAATGACTTCGTAAAATTCTGTTTATTTTGTACAATTGAGAATTTATCTGAGGGTTTTTTTCTGAGAGCTAGAGCCTGTGGAAATATTCAACTTTATAAAGCAATAAAATTGCTTTTAGTGAATAATGTGAAATTTGAGATAGGTATGAACTACCTACCAGACCATTTCTCAAAGAACACTAGTTGCTCTACTCCTTCATGAGATAATTTGTATATTTAATGACTTACTTAATGAACTTTTTATGTGTTTGCTTTTGCTAATCAAAAGTTTTGGAGCACCTACTGGGTACAGAATACCATACTGGGCATTTTTTGTAAGGAAAAATGAGAGCACTCAAGTTGCAGTGGTCTACTGGTGTTGGGAGGAATAGGGAGCTCATCGGGGAAGGCAGAGCTCAAGCTTTGTAGGGAGAAGGTAGTTGTTGATCATAAATATTAGGCTAGAAAATTCATCTTCTAGCAGAGATGCCCCTCGATCAGGAAGTTCCCAAGACAATGGTGGATTCTAGCAACTAACCGTAAGACTGGGGGGGTAGCTCTGTGGGGGAGGGGTTGCCACGTGCACAGGCCTTAGGTTCAGCCCCCAGTGTTGAAACAAAACCAACACACACACACACACACACACACACACACACACCTACAGTTACATCTGTAGTATATTCCAAAATATTGAGAGGAGAAAACCCTGAGGATTCCTGACACGGATGTTTGAGGGACAAAGAGCCAGCTTCCCAAAGTTCACCATTGCACACTTGACTCAGATCGCTGCGCTGTACCCTGTGTGCATGTGCGGGCGTTAGGTACCAGTTAAAACTTTTTGAAGTGATTGAGACAGCACAGATTATTTAAAAGGTAGCATTTAATACTGTGTGTAGTTGGGGAAGATGATAGAGGGAAAATGCGGAACACGCTATGGTATTCTGTACCCAGAGGGCCGGGTTTGAAGTCGACCTGTGTGCATTTGTCAGCTGATGGGGCACAGAGCGGGACAAAGGTGACAAGAATTGACATGGAGGCCACCAAAAGAGCTGGAACAGGGCCTGTTGTGCCTGAGGAATTGAGTCTTTAAATTCATTTCAGGGGTAGTATGTGAAAAATAAGGGCTTAGCAAGCTGGGGGCTGAGACAGGGTCTCTAGGAGTCATCTGTAACTGGGATACGATGAGCTTGAGAGAGCCGTTGGGCTGCTCACCTTTAGAGTGTGAGCTCTGGAGCTAACCTGTGTGCTGTGCGACGCCTTCCCTGACAGGGTCTCACTCTGTACATTTCCATCACAGGTTATGGCACACAGCCTGTTTGGGAAAAGAAAATGAAATAATGGTGTTTGGTGGGAGCAAAGATAACTTACTTTTCTTGGATACAGTAAGCAAATCTTTTATTTAAACATTTTTCTGAGTGATTATGATATTCAAACAGCTACTCACCAGTATTGTTGCTATGGTAACTGCAAAAGCACAGGAGGACCACCCTTCCAAGTCAGAGGTCTTGTGATTTATGTCAGGATATTTCAGCTTTACCAACCAAGATGAGCTTATTAATTTCACTAGCTAGGTTACTAAAAATAGCCTTTTCTTTCCAGTACGGGGCTGGAGCCTAGGACCTTGCATTCACACGCACTAGGTTAGCACTCACTCCCCAAGCCCAGCTCCCCATTCTGCCCCTCTCTGAACCTTACCACAATATGAGCATTTATAGTTTGAATGTATTAAAATGTCTGTATAAGCTCCCCATTCTGCCCCTCTCTGAGCCTTACCACAATATGAGCATTTATAGTTTGAATGTATTAAAATGTCTGTATATACAAAGAACACATAATCATGATGATAATCACCCAGAGAATTCATTTTTAATTTTTTATTGTTCTTTTTTTATATATATAGGATCTCACTGTGTAGCCCTGGCTGTCCTATAAGTCACTATATTATAGACCAGGCTAGCCTTGAACTCCTAGAGATCCACCTACCTCTTCCTCCTTAGTGCTGGGATTAAAAGGTGTGCGCCATACCATCTGGCACCCATGAATTTTTTTTGTTTGTTGTTTTGGTTTTTCGAGACAGGGTTTCTCTGTATTGTTTTGGAGGCTGTCCTGGAACTCGCTTTGTAGACCAGGCTGGCTTCAAACTCACAGAGATCCGCCTGCCTCTGCCTCCCGAGTGCTGGGATTAAAGGCGTGCGCCACCAACGCCCGGCCGGCACCCATGGAATTTATTAATGGAAGAAACAAGACATAGCAATCCTTCTAAATCCTTCTAAATCTCATGGGCTAGCTTCTCCCAAGAAGAAACTGTTCTGTTTGTGTTTTATGAGATTTTACTACTGCTTCCCATCTTTTTACATTTGGTTTTGAAACATGCAGCTTCAACGTGCTATAAACTCAAAGGAATAAAGAGGTCACATTTGGAGAGCCTTGTTCCTTCCCTCATGGTCCAGGGGAAGTCGAGAGCAACTGGCCACTCACACCTGCTGTACTTACTGGACAGGCACTGACTGCTCTGATCTGCATAGGATGCTGAAGGACATTAAGACTGAGCAACAGGGATGTGGCCAGAGTCACCAACAAGGCACTAGCCCCCTTTCTTGTCCTTAGGCACAGGTTGCTGCTACAGAGTGACAAACTTTTAAAAAAGGGCTTTGTTTGATCCTGTAGTCTGTGGCCACCAGCTCAGGCATGTACAGTGAAGGCTCTAGAGCTATTCTCAGCCTAGGACACAACACAGTACTCCACTAAAGCACTAGAACCAGGACTCCAACTCAGTTAAATAGAAACGACTTCCCAATACGCACAAGGCCCTGGGTTCAAGTCCCATCACTGCCTCTCCCCCAGTGGAAGATTTGTGGTTTGTCTTATTTTTCTTGGCACTGGAAATCCTTGTTTAGAAGGTAGGCATGGTGGTACGCTCCTATACCCCAGCACTTGCTCGGGAAGTTCACACAAAATTGAGGGCTCAAGGCCAACTTGTGCTACACAAAGAGATCTTGCTTCAAAATATTTAAAAACAAACAATGAACAAACAACAACAAAAGAAATCCTCTACTTATAATAAAAAAACTTATTGCCAGTTAGTGGTGAAGCACACCTTTGATTCCAGCTCTCATGAGGCAGAGGCAGGCAGATCTCTAAGTTTAAAGACAACCTGATCTTCAGATCAAGTTCCAGGAGAACCGGACTACACAGAGAAACCTGTCTCAAAAATTCAAAAAATAATAATAATATTTGAAACACAAAGGAAGATTTCATGGTGAAGCCAGGTGTGGTTTGGTGTTCATGCATATAACCACAGTACTCAGGAATCTGAGGCAGGAGAATTACCATAAATTCAAGAGTAGCCTAGGTTCCAGGCTAGCCTGGGCTGTATAGCAAAATACACCAGCAAACACAGGGAGGTGATGGGGCTCATGGGGACTGCTTCTCTGTCAGAGGAAGGCCTCAGTCCCGGTGGCCTTCGATAGCACAGAGAGAACCTCCTGGACAATGAGACAGAGCACAGGACTTTCCAGGATAAGAGTAACTCGGCAGAAATAAATCTGTTTAAAAAACAGTTAACTAGTTCTGTTACTCACTGTTCTCAGAGAACAGTTGTAATTATATAGGGTATTGATTAGGTAAAACTTTGGTTACTGAAATTTTGTATTCATATACCTCATGTTTTCAAATAGGAAAATGTATGTATGTGCAAATGTATGTCTGTGGATATGTATACTAGTGTGCATGTGTGTTACTAGTTAAAGAGAAATTTATTGGCTATTTTACATTCATTTAATGGAAATGATCTATAGTTGAAGTATTGTTATCTTCTTCAAATCCTTGGTAAGACTTTTTTTTTTTACTAGGGTCACTGTAATGATTTATTGATTTTTCAAACACAGCCTTATTCACTGCTCAGGTAAGTAACTACAGTATTTTTTCACATATATGATGTCATGTATAAAAGCGAGTGTGTGTGTGTGTGTGAGTGTGAGTGTGTGTGTGTGAGTGTGTGTGAGTGTGAGTGTGTGAGTGGTGTGTGTGAGTGTGTGAGTGTGTGTGAGTGTGTGTGTGAGCGTGAGTGTGTGTGTGTGTGTGTTCACCTAGCATTCACAAGGCCCTGGGCACAATCTGCAGATCTGTATAAACAGTGCATGATGTCTGGTGTCTGTGATCCCAGCACTTGGGAGGGGGAAGCAGGGGGATGAGGAGTTCAGTCTTCTTCAGCTGTGTAATGAGTTGGCTTTAGGGGGTTATTGTTGTATTGGTTTTTTTGTTTGTTTGATTTTGAAAGACCTTAAAACTGGGTAGGGAGGGAGGGGGAGAGGATCTAGAAGGACTTGAGGTAGGGGAAGAATATGACATTGACACCAGATCTCATTGTAGAGAGTGCTGGGAATTGAACTCAGGACCTCTGGAAGAGCAGTCAGTGCTCTTAACCTCTGAGCCATCTCTCCGGCCTGACCAAAATATATTTAAATTTAAATTGTTTTTTTGGGGGAGACAGGGTTTCTCTGTGTAGCTTTGAAATCTGTCCTAGAACTCACTCTGTAGAACAGGCTGGCCTTGAACTCATAGAGATCCGTCTGCCTCTGCCTCTCAAGTGCTAGGATTAAAGGCATTTGCCACCACTGCCTGGCAACTAGTGTGATTTTTAAAAGTTAAAATGTACAGTATATTTTTGCTTTTTATAAAACTGCTTCTAATTCATACAGTAATATCAAAGATAATTTATTTCCAGCCTGCACATAGTGGTGCATGCCTTTTGTGTCATCATTTGGGAGGGAGAAGCTGTATTTCAACTTTCTGGAACTCAGAATATGTCTGGTAAATGTCAAATATAATATATGATATAAATATATATATACATATACATTTAAAATAAAAGAATTTAAGTTGGGATTGATGGCACATGGCTTTAATCCCAGCACCTGCAAGGCAGAGGCAGGGGAATCTCTAAATGTAATGCTAACCTGGTCTGCAGAGTGAGTTCTAGGACAGCCAGAGATAACCAGAGAAAGCAAGTCTCAAAAAGCCAAATGATGACAATGATGACGATGATGATGATGATGATGATAATGATGGAAGAAGAATTTCCATTAACTCCAAAGCTGACACTTAGTTGTTTGGACACATGATCCTCTGTCTCTGTCTCCAGGATGCTGGAATTACAGGTGTGTGTCCTCACACCCAGATGACAGACTCATGAGGAAGTAGATTTTAGCAAAAGAGAAAAAATGACTAGACATTGGCTTAACAGGATACTTTTCTTTTTTACAGAGTAGCTGGGGTTTGGCTCAGTAAGACGTGCCTACCTATCATGTGAAAGCTGCTGGGTTTGGTTCTCAAAATCATGAAAAAAAAAGTAAATAAAATCGTGGACAAAGCTGGCGGTGATGGCACATGCCTTTAATCCCAGCACTCGGGAGGCAGAGGCAGGCGGATCTCTGTGAGTTCGAGGCCAGCCTGGTCTACAGAGCAAGTTCCTTCCAAAGCTACGGAGAAACCCTGTCTCGAAAAACCAAAAAAAAAAAAAATGGTGGACAAAAAAGAATATGTAAAAATGGGAAAGTGTAGTGGTTAGGGCAGGCCATTGAGAAAGTCTCATCAATAGTGGGTTATCAGTAAGGAGGAAGAGATAAGGATATTGGCCTGTCTTAAGGTGATGAAGATTTTAAATAGCCCTGGAGCTCACTGGGAGCATGCTGGCCAGGGCTGTGCGGCTCAGTAACACGTGGTAGAGAGAATGAGCAGTAACCTTAGTGATGGCAGGTCTATACAAGTGTGGCTTACTTCAGCATCTCAAGGCAGCTGACCCCAGGTGAAAGAGACTGATGGACAGTGGAGTTTGGCTAGGATGTTGTAACAGGAACAGTGGAGGGTAGCAGGGGCTGTTTCCTAGCGGCTAGCAAGTTCTTAATATGTGGAAAACTGGAAGGGTCAGGACAATAAAGGAACCAAGCATGGTGACAGTCATTTAAGAGGCTGAGGCAGGAAAGTGAGAGTTCAAGGCCAACCTGGCTACAAAGTGAAAGGGGGATAGAATAGAGCTAAGCTGGAGACATCTCAGTGCTTAAGAGCATGTGCTATGTTTACAGAGGATCCAAGTTCAGTTCTCTGCACCTGCACTGTGTAGCTCAAGACTGCCTGTAAACCCAGTTCTAGAAGATCTGACACCTTCCTCTTCTGGTCTCTGGGTACCTACATACCTGCAATGCACATAAAACACACACAAGTACACAAACATACACATAAAAATGTTTGGAAAGCATTCCACACAGAAGCTACAGTTGGTAAAGAGGCAGACACGCTTATGTTGAGCCAGGTGGGATTTCTCAGGGATTGGGCTAGGGTGAGCAGAGGTAAGCACAATGAGGCCGGGAGCCGGAGGCTGACAGCAGGCCACCTTACCCAGGTGATGCTAACAAAAAGACTGAGGATGTGGCCCAGTCAGTAAAGGTCATGCAGACACTAGGACCTCTTCTCCAGCACCCATGTTAAAAGCTGGGCACAAGAGTAGGCACCTGTAGTCCCAGGACTGGGGGGTGGAGACTGTCAGGTCCCTGGCGCTGGCTTGTCAGATCATTGAACTCCAGGTCCAGTTAAAGACTCCATGCCACATCATCATCAACGTCATTATTATTATTATTATTATATATTCTTTGGCTTTTTGAGACAGGATTTCTCTGTAGCTTTAGGGCTGTCCTGGAACTAGCTCTTGTAGACCAGGCTGGTCTCGAACTCACAGAGATCCGCCTGCCTCTGCCTCCAGAGTGCTGGGATTAAGGGCATGCGCCACCACCGCCAGGTTGTCATTATTATTATTAATATGTGGAAAATGATCATCATCACCATAGTCACAATGTGGGGGGTGACTGGGAAGTCAGTGTTGACCTTTGGTTTCTTTACAAACTCCCATGAACATATGCACATACACGTGAACATGTGCACACACATATATGTTACAATATATGCAGCACCCCCATACACACACACACACACACACACACACACACACACACACGCACACGAGTGACAGGAACATAGTAGTTTTACTATGTGATGCCTGCTCACCATGGTGAACCATCCTTACTTCAGTCATGTGATCATTTTATTTTAAATGTTAGATCAAAGCATTGGTCACTGGCTGCTCAGAAGTGCTGGAAGAAAAGAATCATGAATAGGACATGGCTAGGACAGAGATCATCGGAAGCTGTAGTAAGAACACACACACACACATACACACGAACAAATTAGGTATGCTGTCTTATAGCCTTTTTACAGTGCATAGGTAGCTCTCACGCGAGTGTGTAACATTAAATATAATAGTCTGTATCTATGTTAGCAAAGACTGTTAGGTTCTCTCTTACACACAGGATTGCCCAGACTGATCGTAGCTATTTAGTATGTGTTATGATAAAGTGTGAAGAACCTTTGGCAGGACCTTGGCTTCCATGGCAGCAAGGAAGACCGAGGAGGAGGGACAAACATGCCAGGCAGACGGAGCTTAGTGAGAAGTTTTATTAGAGAGGAAAGAGAGAAGAAGTAAAGTGACACCGAGACAGAGGACAGAAGAGAAGAGGAGACAGGAAAAGTCCTGTCTGTCCCCGGGGAACAGCGGGAAAGAGAGCCGGAAAGAGAAGAGAGAGGAAAGACAGCGTAAGTAGGCGGAGGTCTGTCTCTTAAAGGGGTCCTTTGTACTTGGCCTGACCAGGGTACTGCCTGAGTGCATTCTGACAGGTGACAGGGGCAGGCTAGCATAACGCCTGAATCCTTATAATATATCCTAAATTTGGAGCTGTTACAAAACTTAGGTGTGGAGTCGTCTTGGATATCCTCTTTGGAAAGCGAGCAGATCCCCTCAGGACAAATTCCCAGAGGGCATATTGATGGGTCAGGTTGCACTGTGATGCTCTTTGGTGACTCCCACTGAGTGCTCAACCTCTGACCTCTAGTCATATTTAACCCACTGACTGAAGTACCCTTTCTTTAATAAACTGATCTTTAATCTCCCGGCTTCGGGAGTGTGGCTGTCTCCTGTGTCCATTGAGGTCCTAGGTCTCAGCATGGGGTCCCACCTGGAAAATTCCCATGACTTGTGCTGTTGGATTAATCTCCGAGAAGCCCTTCAGGACTTACATCACCCGAGACTAAGCATTCTATCAGCTAGATATTCATTCCTTTGCTAGCCCATGATCTTCTTGGGTGTCGACACAAGGGTTTCCTGTGTGGATTTCCTCTCTTGCAGCATGCCTACTGAGCATTGTCTTTCTTAGGCTGGCTCCTCCTACCTCCTCTGTGTCTCCCCATGACAAGGACACAGGAGTTGGGGTGCCAGTGTAGGAGTGGATGAAATTCAAATTTTCCTATAATTCTTAACACTTATTTGGAGTTAGTAGTAGGAAGGAAAAGGCTTAATGAAAATAAGAAGAAGGGCTTGTGGGGTCAACTCACAGGTAGATGTTTTCCTACTCCTGGAGGCCCTGAATTAAGATCTCCATGTAATGTTTGTTGAAGTGACAACTGATTCAAACACAGGAGGCTGGTGTAGACCGTGTTCAGTTCTCCAGCCCAGAAGGAAAGAAAGAAAGAAATGTAGTCTTTTGTTTTTCTGTTAGAAGATCTGAAATGTTTTATTTTATAATTATTTTTGAAGTTGTCAAACACAAATTTAAGAAGTATTTTGAAAAGAGAAAAACAAAGTTAAGCAAAAAAGATGACAGAAAATGTGCAGGTTTCAGTAATTAAAAAGATTATTGCTATTTTCCGTGTACAAGTGTTCTACTTGTGTGTGTGGCTGAGCACCACGTACATGCCTGGCTTCCATGGAGGGTGTTGGATGTGTGTGAGTCACCGTGTGGTGCTGGGAGTCACACCCAGGGCCTCTGGAAGAGCAGCCAGTGCTCTTAACCACAGCCAGTGCTCTTAACCACAGCCAGTGCTCTTAACCACAGCCAGTGCTCTTAACCACTAAGCTCAAGTTTCACATTTTTTTGTTTTGTTTTTTGTTTGTTGAGACAAGAGTTTCTCTGTGGCCAGGCGTTGGTGGCGCACACCTTTAATCCCAGCACTTGGGAGGCAGAGGCAGGAGGATCTCTGAGTTCGAGACCAGCCTGTTCTACAGAATGAGTTCCAGGACAGCCTCCAAAGCCACAAAGAAACCCTGTCTCGAAAAACAAAAAACAAACAACAAAAAAGAGTTTCTCTGTGTAGTCCTGGATGTCCTGAAACTAGCTCTGTAGACCAGGCTGGCCTCAAACACGGATATACACTTGCCTCTGCCCCCTGAGTACTGGGATTAAAAGCTCTGCCAACCACTGCCCGGCATCTCTTATATTTTTTTAATTTTAACTTTTCTGAGAATTTTATACATGAGTATACTGTATATTTGTACCATTCCCACCCCTCTATCTCCCTTATTTATAATTATTTGTTTGTTTTATTTTTAGTTTTTCGAGACAGAGTTTCTCTGTATTGTTTTGGAGGCTGTCCTGGAACTTACTCTGTAGACCAGGCTGGTCTGGAACTCACAGAGATCCGCCTGCCTCTGCCTCCTGAGTGCTGGGATTAAAGGCGTGCGCCACCAACGCCCGGCTTCCTTATTTATAATTATTGACACATACCATTTTTATAAGTTAATGTGACTCACTATCCTGTCCATCTATCCCTCTGTCTTCTCTCGTTTAACCTCTGGTCTTCCTGCCTCTGAAGTCTGAATTTTGCTTTGGTTTTTAATTTTCTTTTGGACTTCATGCTTTTCTGGCAAGTGTTCTATCTACTGTTCAGCTCTATCTCTATCCCCTGAATCTTTTTAACTAAAAAAATATGATGTGTGATGAGTTACACTTTCTGTTTTCTTGAATTTTGCTCAGATATGGTCTCTTTATGCTATAATAAAACATGGTTATTGTAGTGATATAAAATATCCTCTCATATTCCAAATAATACAAAGGGAATAATGTATATATACATATATGTATACACACATACATACATATACATACATACATGTTACCATCTAGAGAATCTACATAGATTTTGTGGAAAGGGAAAAGAATACTTAGCTTGTTGGACATGATAGCACACTCCTGTAACCCTAGTGCTCAGGGAGCCTGATGTGGGAAAATCACCTTATGCTTGAGGCCAGTCTGGGCTATAGAGTGTGTCCGTGTGGTTTTGGTTTCTTTCTTTTGGACTTGATGCATGCTGGCAAGTGCTCATTGTATGCAGAAATGCTCAAAAATAAGCAAACAAGGCTTGAGGTGGCTCAGAGGTCAAGAGGACTTGTTGCTCTTCCAGAAGACCCAGATTTGGTTCCTATTATCCATGGCAGGTGACTCACCACCCTCTGTAACTCTGGCTCTGGGGGATATGATGCCCTCTTCTGGCCACTGGGGGTACTTGCACTCTATGGTATGCAGTCACACAGATGTACACACACACAAGACAACATAATGAGTCCTGGGTTCAGAACTAACCATTCTCTCATGCTTTATTGACAGGTCATGTCTTGACTGCATTGGGAAAAATGCTACCATTTTAAAAAGTCAGATATCTTTATTACCTCCTAAACTTCTGCAGCAAGTTCTCAAAAGAATAACCTTTTGGACAGCAGCCAATTACCGAAAAGAGCAAAGAGTCCTAAAAGAAGGGACAGAAAACATGCCCCAGTGGATCAGTAGCCACTGAGTGGCCCCAGGTCCAGTAGGTCCAGTGTGTCAAAGTGTCTTAGCGAGACCACACGTCTGACCCTCCCCTCCAGTCACAGGCTCCATTCAAGCGATAAAATCTGAAACAAATGCCTTGCTAATGTGATTACATGGCGTGGGATATGTGGAAATAAGATGTAACTGAAGATTTCTCTGTGTATTTGTAAAGTGATTTACTTGTAAAAGACAGTTACGTGTTCTTTCTGGAAATAAGACAGTAACAGCAGTTCTTGGCTCAGTGTATGCTCTTCTGGAAAGGCAGAAATTACCCTAAAATCTTCAGAAATCCTCTCACACAACTGTAGGTGAAGATATAGAAATACTCATTGACTTCCATTACTTTGCGGTCACCCAAGTGTCTCCTTAAATATTGTCATCGGAATTTCCCTCCCTTGTTGATCAGGGAAGCATCTTTAGATAGTCCTGGCTCCACCCCCTGAAGACCACATGGGTGGAGTTCGGTTTGTCTCACAGTCTTTGAAACATTGGGGTGGGGAACATTAGTGGCTTTTGAGACATGGTAAAATACACATTGCCCTGGGGAAAAAAGTGTTTCTAAAGTAATGTTTGCAAGTAATGAGGGTGATAATCTGCTGTTTTTGACTCTCTGAATCCCTCATTTGAGCTCTACAGAGTTGATGCTCAAGTCCTGACAATGACAGCCCCTGGCTCTCGGCATTGTTTATCCAGAAATGGGAGACTATATTGTTATGTTCCTCAGAATGATACTGTGGCCATTTTGAGACATTTTCCTTGTAGGCTCAGTCCTGTCCTTCCACTGACATTCTTGTTATGATGATCACTAAAGGACTCAGTATGGGACATATTCCCCTCACTGTCACCATGCAAGTTATCTCTGAACTTTAAGATGCTGTGAAAGTATATTTCTGTATTGTACATAATTTATAGTGGACGTTGTAGTTTTATCAAACTGTGTATATGTTTTATATGTGCTGTATTTTGGGTGTGTAAAGCTCATCTGTGTATTGGAGTAGTTTGCGTTTACATCTTACTTATTGAACACAGTGTATAGAGTTATTGCTTCACAGTTTTGTCACTCGGTGTGGACCAGTCAGAGTTCATTTCAGTGTGGGGCTGGCAACATGGCTCAGGATGGAAAAGGGCTTGCTGCCCAGGCCTGGCATCCTGAGTTCCATCCCTGGCACTAGAATAAGGTGGGAGGAAAGAACACATACTATAATGGCTGCTCTCTGACCGCCACATATGTGCTGCGTCACATGTGCTCAGACATACAACGCGCACGTGCGCGTGCACCGCGCACCACACACACATACACACACACACACACACACACACACACACACACACACACAGGCAGAGCACTATGGCACAGAAGATGTAGGAGACACTCTCTGTACCTCACTGCAGGCAGCAAACATTGGAGACTGGGAATCAGTGCTCCTAACAGCTAGATCCTCCCTCCTGGTTTCCTCAGATGCCCAAAATGTCACCACCATCTGATGACCAAGTGTTACATCCATGAATCTGTATGGAGCTTTTATTCTCAAACCATATAATTCTACCCCTAACCCAAAGACTCATGGCCATTCGTTCATTCAGTTTATCTTCTGGAGTCCCAGCAGCACCAAAACCCTCAGAAAACCCAGTTCCAAGGCCCCAAGATTCATCTCCCGGCCATGGGGATGTCTAAGCGTCATTCCTGTGGATCCAGCTGGCAGCAGAGGAGACAGCCCTGGACCTGGAATCTCAAGCATGTCCCTGTTCCATTCCGTGGAATCTTCTAGCACTTCCCATCAGGATGACAGATGTTGAGGTGGAATACCTGATTGCTCTGGCCAAGGAGTGATGCCTCCTGGGAACAGGTGCTGATCTTTCAGGTGGGTCAGTCATTGCATTACAAGTGACCTGTGGTCGATTAACGATTTTACACTGTCTGTATGAGTGTGGTTGTTTGAAAGAGAATGACCCCCCAGAAGGCTCATAGGGAGTGGCCCTGTTAGGAGGTGTGGCCTTGTTGGAGGGGCAGCTTCTGAATGTGGCTCTCAGCCTGAGTCCCCGATGTTTGCTGCCTGCAGTGAGGTACAGAGGCTCCGAATGTCTCCCACACGGCCTGCGCCATAGTGCTCTGCCTGTGTGTGTGTGTGTGTGTGTGTGTGTCTTAGTTATTAAATGCTGATATTTAAGTTCATAATAGTAACTTCCAACAAGAAGTATATTATTTGTAAAATTCATTTCCCTTGTCTGTTATGCAGACTAAAAATGGTAAGAAAAAAATAAAGATTCACACTGAAATGTCTCTGGAATGGCTTTGAGGTTTCAGGCCAGGCCCAGCGTCACTCTCCCTTCCTGCTGATCCAGATGTAGAACTCTCAGCTGCCTCTCCAGCACCATGTCTGCCTGCATGCCGCCATGCTTCCCGTCATAACGATAATGGACTAAACCTCTGAATTATAAGCCTGTCCCAGTTAAATGTTTTCCTTTATAAGAGTTGTTGTGGCCGGGCATTTGTGGCATACACCTTTAATCCCAGCACTAGGGAAGCAGAGGCAGGAAGATCTCTGTGAGTTCGAAGCCAGCCTGGTCTACAGAGTGAGTTCCAGGACAGCCTCCAAAACAACACAGAGAAACCCTGTCTCGAAAAACAAAAAAAAAAAAAAAAAAAAAAAAAAAAAGAGTTGCTGTGGTCATGTGCTGTGGTCATGCTCTCTCTCTCTCTCTCTCTCTCTCTCTCTCTCTCTCTCTCTCTCTCTCTCTCTCTCTCGTTTTCCAAGACAGGGATTCTCTGTGTAGCTTTGGAGGCTGTTCTGGAACTCTCTCTGTAGACCAGGCTAGCTTCAAACTCACAGAGGTCCACCTGCTTCTGCCTCCCGAATTCTGGGATTAAAAGCATGTGCCACCAATGCCTGGCTGGTTATGGTCTCTTGAGGGTAATAGAAACCCTACCTAAGATAAAAAGGAAAATGTTTTTGTTTTTGTTTTTGTTTTGAGACATGGTTTCTCTGTGGCTTTGAAGGCTGTCCTGGAACTAGCTCTTGTAGACCAGGCTGGGAAAATGTTATTTTTTAATTTTTCTTGTTCTTATTTATTTGTTGAGGCAGGGGTCAAGAATCCTGTCTTAGAGCAACTTGAGTCTTCTCTGGATTTGATGAGGTAGAGTGATGTATGAGCAGAGGTTGAAAAGTCAGAGGTCTCTTGTTTGGGTTTATTTATGTAATATATAAACATCAGCACAGAGAAGTATTGAACTGTAGGAATGAAAAGCCCTGAAACTCGAGGCGTTTGGCACATGCCTGCACACAAACACTATGAATTCAATTTTTAAAATTAAAAAATACCGAAGTCGATTGGGCAGTGGTGGTTCACACTTTAATCCCAGCACTTGTGGATCTCTGTGAGTTTGAGGCCAGCATGGTCTATATAGTAAGTTTCAGAACTGCTAGGGCTGTTACTCAGAGAAACCATGTCTCAAAACAAAACAAAACAAAAAAGCAAAGCAAAACAAACAAAAAACCCTAAGTCAATTTAAAATTAGCGTTGATTTAAAATTTCACTTAATCCATTGAAATGTAACAATGAACCCAGCCTGTGCATTAACATTATTATTATTATTTTTTTTTAATTTGAGAGAGTCTCCACATAACCCTAGCTGTCCCGGAATTCCCAATGTAGATCAAGTAGGTCACAAATTTACAACTTCCGCCTGCCTCTGCTTCCAGAGTCCTGGGATTAAAGGAGTGCATTACCACCCCTGGCCAACATAAAATACATATTTTTAAACAAAATATAAACCTTGTTTTCCAAGACAAAATTTAAAAGAGTAATGATATTGTTTTGCATTTTTTATAAATATCCTTAATAGACAGCTAAGCTCTTTAGCTTGCTCTATATTCAATTTGTTGCCATGTTTTTAAAGTTACATTATTTCATACATACATGTGCATTGTGTATGTGTATATGCGCATGCATGTGTACATGCATGCACGCAGAACATTATTACATTCATACATGCACACGAGTGTGTATGTGTACATGTATGCACACAGAGAACATTACTACATGCATACATACACAGGAGTGTATATGTGTGTTTGTACATGCAAGCACACAGAGAACATGATGTTTATACATGCACACGAGTGTTATGTGTATGTGTGAGTGTGTATACGTGTGTAGACACGTGCACACAGAGAACAACTTGTGCGCTGGAGTTAATGCTTTCCTTCTACCACGTGGGTCCCAGGGATCAGACTCTGGTCCTCAGGGCCGGTAGCTTTCTGTAATGGTCTCCGAATATTCAGCGATGAGCCTCTTTGAGGTAGGAGCTGTGTTTGTGTGTAGGTATAAAGCTAAGCATTTAGAATCCTGTTAGGAATTACACTTATTTAGAAAAGTGGTGATCGTAGGCTCTCCTCTAACGTGCATGTGTAAAGAGAAGCTTTTCCTTGCTAGCTGCTTTGGTTTATCACCCGCCAGTCGCCTGGGCTCTGCCGTGTATCAGTCCCAAATAAACACACAGGAGGCTATATTAATTATGAAGCTGTTGGCCTTGCTTGTTTCTAACTGGCTAGCTCTGACTTAAGTAATTACCCCATAATTGTTCATCTAAGTATGTCTCTTACTGGAGAATAGTTCCAGGCTTCCTACCCCCATGGCGTTACATGTTGACTCTCTCGTGTTTCTCCTTCCCAGAATCCTCCTGGACTCCTAGCCCCACCTATCTAGATTCCTACTGGCCAGACAGTGCTTTATTGACATATACACAGGACTTCCCCAATATGCATGAGCTCACTAGCCACAAGTAGTTGCTTAGGTTTCCAGTACCAGTCATAATTTTCCTCCTAGTATTTGGGCCTTTCGTCCAATTAAACAGCTGTTGACTACCAGCATGGTCTGAGTGTCATTGTTGCGCCTTTAGAGGTGTCTGACCATCCTGTCTGCGGTGTGGTCTGTGGGCATCACGGCTGGGTGGGGCTCCCCAGGGCTTTCCTCCTTTGCAGCTTGCACAGCACTTTTGGTACCGTGAAGGCTGGTCTGCAGGGAGGAGTCCGGTTTCAGGGGACGTGAAAACACAGGCAGTGCCCTACGAGATAGAGGTGTGGGAGAGGACTTTCTGTAGGGCTTGGGGATTTAGGTTGACAGTTGACAAGCTGGACCTCATAAAACTAAAAAGCTTCTCAGGCCGGGCGGTGGTGGCATAAGCCTTTAATCCCAGCACTCGGGAGGCAGAGGCAGGCAGATCTCTGTGAGTTCGAGGCCGGGCTGGACCGACAGCCTCCAAAACAATACAGAGAAACCCTGTCTCGTAAAACCAAAAAAACAAAAAAACAAAAAACAACAACAAAAAAAACCCTAAAAAGTTTCTCTATAGTTAAGACGTGAAGAAGCCCCACAGAGATGGAGAGAACTTTGCCAAATATATGTGTGTGTGTGTGTGTGTGTGTGTGTGTGTGTGTGTGTGTGTGTGTGTGTGTGCTCTTGGGGGAGACATGAAGCAATGCCTATACCTCCCAAGTTCCCAATCACAAACCCAGACAAGATTCTGCAAATTTTCACAGTGCGGAACCAGTGAGTTTACTGGGCCTCATTACAGCTTCTCAGTGAGGGTTACTGAGAGGAGCACACTCCTCCCCCAACCAGCCACACCTGAAAAGTCTTACTCAGCAGGGATGAGGATTTCTGTCCCCCTTGGTAGTCACAGATGAGCCCCAAAAGTCTTCCCTGCCCCCAGGTCATGTGCAGAGCTTCCCGGTGAGAGGGAGGGGCTGGAGACTGGTAAGAATCTCATGCCCTTCTCCACTCTATTCAGGGGGTGTAAACCATCAATCAACAGCCCTGCTGGGATGAGCTTTCTCAAGGGAGGATGTAGCTGAACTCCCCAAGATGGTGGTCCCTTGGCTCTGAGGACACTGATGACAGTGGGTCTGACAGAGGGTCAATAGATTATATAAAGAACTCAAGAAACAAAGAATAAAGAAAACAACCCAATTAGCTGGGTGTTGGTGGCGCACGCCTTTAATCCCAGCACTCAGGAGGCAGAGGCAGGGAGATCTCTGTGAGTTTGAGCCTCCAAAACAATACAGAGAAACCCTGTCTCATAAAACAAAGAACAAACAAATAGCAATTAAAATTGCTATAGATCTGAGAAGAGAGTTTTCAAAAGAAGAAATAAAATGGTTAATGAATATCCCAATAAGTGTTCATTATCCTTAGGAATTAGGGAAGTAAAAATTACAGCCACTTTGAGATTTGATTGTTAGCCTAAGATCAAGAACAGAACTGACAATAAAAGTTGGTGAGGATGTGGGGAAAGGGAAGCCCATTCACTGCTAGTGGGATTGCAAATTGGTGTAGCCACTATGCAAATCACAAAGAATTCTTGAGAGGCTAAAAATGAATCTACGTATGACCCAGCTGTAGCACTCTTTGGCATATGCCCACAGGACTTGAAATCCTACCCCCACATGCTCAGCCATGCTCATTGCTGCTCTGGTCACAATAGCTGGGAAGTGGAAACAGCCTAAATGTCCTTCAGTTGATAGACAGATAATGAAATGTGGTCCTTACGCTATGGAATACTATTCAGCTGTAGCAAAAAAAAAAAAAAATGAAATCATGAACTTTGTAGGAAAATGGAAGGAACTCGTTCGAAAATATACTGAATAAGGGAACCCAGATCCAGAAAGATAAACAACACAGGTTAGCTCCAAATCCTCAGATGTGAGCACATAACGGGGTGTGACCCTATAAAGCACAGAAATAGAAAGGGATCATGGGATGGTGGGGTGGGGGGCACTAGAGAGGCGAGTGGCAGGATGTGGGTGATATGAAGGGAGAAATCGGAAAAATGGGAGGGGGCCTAGGTAGGAAAGGACAATAAATAATGCCAAGGATGTCTTAGAATGCCACAGGGAATCATTCTATATGTATCTAAAATTATATGTAGTAAATATAATTGTTTGTTGTCTTCATGTATGTATAGTTTAAGTTTTTAAATTAAAAAGTTATTATTTTACATTCACCTAAAATTACATGTAGTAAATACAAGTGTTTGTGTCTGTGTGTATGTATAGTTTAATGAAGTTATTAAAAGTTATTTTCTATACAACTAAGATACATATAGTGTGTGTGTGGTTTAAATGAAGTTAGAGTTACATCATTTTGGTGACAGTGCTTCCCCCAAGAGTTATAAACTAGCAAAACCCTCAGTGCCAGGCATGAAAAAAATCTTTCAAGTTCAAAAGACTCCCAAAGCAATTTAGGTTGTTTTTGTTGCCCTTGGTTGTTTCCAAGAAATCC